AAAAATAAAATTGTTTGGCCATAATGACCATCGTTATGTTTGGAGGAAAAAGGGGATGGCTTGCAAGCCGAAGAACACCATCCCATCCGTGAAGCAAGGGGGTGGCAGCATCATGCTGTGGGGGTGCTTTGCTGCAGGAGGGACTGATGTGCTTCACAAAATAGATGGCATCATGAGGAAGGAAAATTATGTTGATATATTGAAGCAACATCTCAAGACATCAGTCAGGAAATTTAAAGCTTGGTCGCAAATGGGTCTTCCAAATGGACAATGACTCCAAGCATACTTCCAATGTTGTGGCAAAATGGCTTAAGGACAACAAAGTCAAGGTATTGCAGTGGCCATCACAAAGCCCTGACCTCAATCCTATAGAACATTTGTGGGCAGAACTGAAAAAGCGTGTGTGAGCAAGGAGGCCTACAAACCTGACTCAGTTACACCAGCTCTGTCAGGAGGAATGGGCCAAAATTCACCCAATTTATTGTGGGAAGCTTGTGGAAGGCTACCCGAAACGTTTGACCCAAGTTAAACAATTTAAAGGCAATAGTACCAAATACTAATTGAGTGTATATCAACTTCTGACCCACTGGGAATGTGATGAAAGAAATAAAAGCTGAAATAAATCATTCTCTCTACTATTATTCTGACATTTTACATTCTTAAAATAAAGTGGAGATCCTAACTGACCTAAGACAGGGCATTTTTACTAGGATTAAATGTCAGGAATTGTGAAAAACTGAGTTTAAATGTATTTGGCTAAGGTGTATGTAAACTTCCGACTTCAACTGTATAATCTGTAGGTATAATCTGTAGCTTTCTGTAGGTATAATCTGTAGCTTTCTGTAGGTATAATCTGTAGCTTTCTTTAGGTAAAATCTGTAGTTTTCTGTTGGTATAATCTGTAGCTTTCTGTAGGTATAATCTGTAACTGTCACGGATTCTGCCGAGGCTGCTCCTCCTCCTTGCTCGGGCAGGCTTCGGCGTTCGTTGTCCCCGGAGTACTAGCTACTGCCAATCGATGTTTCGGTGTTTGTCTTGTTTTGTCTTAACCAGCATGGCAACCACAGCATTCTGCAGCGATACACCTGTTGTCTATTATGTTTGATTGTTTAGCCTATAATTTCCCTTGTCTCACGTTTGGGAATTTGTGTGTTATTGTTGTATGTCATGTCGATGTTCGGCCTTGCTATTTGTCCATATTACGCATATGGTATTTTTCCCTCCAGTTGTGGAGACGTTTGTTTTTGTGCTTTACAGTTAGTAAAGTAGTCAACCTGATTCTCTGTGTCCTGCGTCTGACTTCTCTCGCCGCGTACACATCACCTTCTGACAGTAGCTTTCTTTAGGTAAAATCTGTAGTTTTCTGTAGGTATAATCTGTAGCTTTCTGTAGGTATAATTTGTATTTCTCAATATTCAGCTCAATAGCAACTATTTTACAACCAAGATATTTGATATGGCTTTGAGATACAGTATGTCTTACTTAACTGCTGACAATTAACAAGCTTTCAGAAAGAAGCCATATGCAGTGTTTCATAGTGTTAATCATCATTGTACTTGAACCATCATCAAGTCGTCGTAGACTGTGAGATACACAATTCTCCCTTACCTTCCAAAAAACGATTCACTGTGACGATGACGACCCCTGGCTCCTTCTCGGTGTTCATCTCACTGTCAACATTGACGTTTTGTCAGTCACTTCAGAGTAAGAGGTTGCTGGACACAGAACAGAAATACTATGTGAAGCTATGAGACGGTGTGGCAGAGACTCGTGAGGCTTTGTGGGATGTGTAGCATGAGTGGTTACTGTCACAAAGCCAGCAAGGCCCCACAGGTAGAGAGGACTACCAATGAATAACATTTCAGTCTTCTTAACCAATCACAGTGGAGTTGGTCACTTATGCTTGGGGGGGGGGGGGGCACTTAGCTGCAATGGCACCTAGCAACCTGTGCAATGGCACTTATTAACCTGTGATGTAACAAATCCTAAATTCCATCAAAGACACTCTTTGAGGGGTGGGGTGTGCAGCCATATACATTGAGCAAACAGTAACACCTTCAATGGCTAACATTCTAGTTTTTTCTAGTGCTTTTCTCAAATGTTCTTACTCAGTTTGTTTCGTGCATTACTTCATACACCCGGGTAGAATTATTGGAATATGAATCGCTGGGTACTCACTGTCTACCCGACCTTAACAAATTCCTGGAGACGGCGAAATAATGGTCACAGTTGTAAATATGTACACTACCAGTCAAATGTTTGAACACACCTACTCATTCAAGGGTTTTTCTTTATTTGTACTATTTTCTACATTGTAGAGGAAAATTGAAGACATCAAAACTATGAAATAACACATATGGAATCATGTAGTAACCAAAAAAGTGTTAAACAAATAAAAATAGCCACCCTTTGCCTTGATGACATCTTTGCACATTCTTGGCATTCTCTCAACCAGCTTCATGAGGTAGTCACCTGGAATGCATTTCAATTAACAGGTGTGCCTTCTTAAAAGTTAATTTGTGGAATTTCTTTCCTTCTTAATGCGTTTGAGCCAATCAGTTGTGTTGTGACAAGGTAGATACAGAAGATAGCCCTATTTGGTAAAAGTCCAAATCCATATTATGGCAAGAACAGCTCAAATAAGCAAAGAGAAACAACAGTCCATCATTACATGTATTTGTGAGACGCGGTGTGGGTGAACGGATGATCTCCGCATGTGTATTTCCCACCGTAAAGCATGGAGGAGGAGGTGTTATGGTGTGGGGGTGCTTTGCTGGTGACACTGTCTGTGATTTGTTTAGAATTCAAGGCACACTTAACCAGCATGGCAACCACAGCATTCTGCAGCGATACGCCATCCCATCTGGTTTGGGTTTAGCGGGACTATCATTTGTTTTTCAACAGGACAATGACCCAACACACCTACAGGCTGTGTAAGGGCTATTTTACCAAGAAGGAGAGTGATGGAATGCCGCATCAGATGACCTGGCCTCCACAATCCCCCGACCACAACCAAATTGAGATGGTTTGGGATGAGTCGGACCGCAGAGTGAAGGAAAAGCAGCCAACAAGTGCTCAGCATATGTCGGAACTCCTTCAAATGACTAAATAAAAATCTAATCCAGAATGCTTTCAACATACTTATGTTGCCACCCATGGAGTTTATCTCCCACACGTGGAACATTTCTCAGATAAAACTACAGCTATGTCAGCCTAAAATACAATACTTTCAAACTCACCACTATTGAAGTAAACAAAACAAAACAATGTGTTAGCATGAACCCAGGTCACCTCAAACCTCCCCAAAATCTCACACCTTTCCCAGAGCCCCCCCTTGGCACCCTTCTGCAGCCCCAGACCCCCCCCCCCCCCTCTCAGCCCACCCGTACCCCTGGAGGGTAGCACTCGTGGAAAGTTGTGCCATTGGTCTCTCAGCTGCTTTGTAGTATTTTTAGGTCAGTCATCCCCTCGCCGTGGAAACCCTACACATCCCAGCCCTAGGGAGAGACACATGGAGTATAAAACAGACACAGGTTCGGGAGGTGAGATCTGCAAAAGACATAGATGGAGAGAGCACACAGGTTGTAGGACACAGACAGACAGACAGACAGACAGACAGATTTACTATTGCTGACAAAGCATCAACACCAGGTAGGAATACTTTATCTCTATTGGTATCCCCATTAGCTGACACCATGAGGACAGCTAATCTTCCTGGGGTCCATACACACAACAAAAATACATTATTCTCTTACGATTTTAGGATTTATCGAGATCATCACTTTTATTTTTTTAGTGATCCAATTGACATTTTAGTCATTTAGCAGACGCTCTTATCCAGAGCGATTTACAATTAGTGAGTGCATACATTTTTCATACTGGCCCCCCGTGGGCATGGTGTGTGTGTTTACTGCTGGACATTATTATGATTCATTTGCAAGTTATTATCTGTATAGTTCAGTTTGAGGTTATCATGAAACTCTGCAATCTGCTGCAATAAGACAAAGGGCTCAATTCAATCTGTTGCGCTGAAGATCCACTTTAGAGCGCGATTGACAATTAAAGGCAAAGTTAGCGCGGTCGTGGAAACTGCATTCACGGTAAACGCTGCATATGTCGGCTCAATCGGAAATTACCTTTAAATTTGAACTCAGATCTTCCACGATACTTTGGCGATACGGATTGAATCCAGCCCTAACATAGACTAACATAAGACTAACTCTACAGACTACAGACTGCTGCTATAAGATTAACATAGCACACTAAAACAACATAATCTGAACATAGCACAAATAATCTGCAGCTCACATATTGCTGTCACATTTTCATAAACACACAGAGAAAAACTTGTATTTGATCTTAATTAGCTTGTCAAGTGCAATAGCATGGGCTCTCTTTGTAATGAATTCCTCTTTCATTTATTTACGGAAGTATATTTGTGTGTATAAAGGGCATATTTACATTTTAGTCATTTAGCAGACGCTCTTATCCAGAGCGACTTACAGTTAGTTAGTGAGTGCATACATTTTCATACTGGCCCCCCGTGGGAAACAAACCCACAACCCTGGCATTGCAAGCGCCATGCTCTACCAACTGAGCTACAGGGGACTACATATGAGTTCAGATGTATGGAGGAAGTAGATATCATAGAGCTACTATTTACCCACACTATCTATAGCAACCATCTGCCTTCAGGTATAATCTGATACCTATTGTTTTTATCCAGCAGCATTACCTTGAGTTAGCCTAGAGTGTGGACCTTCCTTTTCACACCATTGTCTTTTTTGAAGATTCCAAGTTTCACTCTGAATTTAAGATGATTTGCCCTTCACTTCACAGTGGAGAGGTGCAGATTCAAATAACTTTCACTCTTATTACAGTGTTATTATTTACACCTCTGTTTCCCAGGCTCAGTTTTAGTTGGTTTAATATTGCATCTTTAATTAATTGTTATTTTTCTCTTTCAGTTTTCTGCTCCGATATAACCAAAACTGGAAACGATGGGCAATATTCTTCACATGAGGTCTGTAGAGGTCCCTTTCCCAAAGATATCCCACAACCACCGCAGCGTCCATTGCCCCCTCCCTACCAACAGCCACCTACAACACTACTGCTACAACAGCAACAACAGCAACAACAGCAACAACACTAAAGTGACCGAGGAGGAGTCCTACCCTCTGGCCACGCAGAAGACTTCAGGTCAGGAGGTCAAAACTGGGGAAAGTGGTGAAAAGAAAGCCTCCAAACCCCAAGATGGCCGCTCTAAAGACACCTCAAAAACAACGTCAGACGACAAACAAAGTCTGCCGGTCGTCCAGCAAGAGTGGAAGCTGGAGACTCTGTCACAAAATAACAAAAACAATATCATGAAAAGCCACATAACTGTAGCGTCAAACGTAGCAACCAAAACGACAGTGGCAACTGTTGCCAGTGCGGCCCAGTCCAAGGCTAGTTCTAGTGTTCTAGTTCTGTGTCAGAAATGGGCTGCCATGGAGTCGGAGGCCCAGAGACCCATGGCCAAGCGGCAGCTGTCGGATGAGAGCGCTGCCTGCTCCCTCAGGGTGGTGAAGAAGAGTACTTTGAGGAGGGAGGAGGTGCAGAGTGAGGTGGAGGGAAGAGCCCCGGTGAAGCCCAAACTCCAGCCAAGGCCAAGGCAGAGCTCCAGTATAGTGAAGAGTGGAAGCATCTCAAAAAAAAAGCTCAGAAAGGAGCTCTTTGCCACAACAGAGGTCTTCAGCAGGGTGGATAACCATGCCATCAATACTGGAAAAGTGAGTTTCTAATACTGTAGTGTTTTTGTGCATAGGCTACAACTGTGTAAATATGTGTGTCTGTGCGTGTGTATATTGTATATACTTTTGTATATTTGTGCACGTAAATGCTTGAGTGAGTGTGTGTGTGTGTGTGTGTGTGTGTGTGTGTGTGTGTGTGTGTGTGTGCATTTACGTTTCTTTTTCTCCATAACTCCTGTTTGTTTTGCAGTTGCGCAGTCAAAGGATCTTCTCAGTTCCGACCATCACCCAGACCATCACAGAAGGAGCGCAGAATGAGCTGGAGAAACTGAGAGCCATCTGGATCTGGCTCTGCCACAACATCGGTCAGTAACACACACACACACACACATGCACACACACACACACACACACACACTTCTAACAGCCATACACTCGCACACACCTTCTCAGTTATCCAACCCACGGCTTACTCACGACAGTGCAGCAACACTGCAGCAACCTGCCAACAACATGACACCACTAGAACACTGTGCATCAGTGGGCTTTACTCTAGAGCCACATACTATAAGGCAAGAGCTGGTCTCATTAGGCTCTTTACCATACTAGACATACATCACAAACTTTCCATCCCTACACAGCTGTCCTAACAATGCTACCATAAGGTCTTTCCCCTGCGTATATACAGGGATCAGCTGTTGGTGGATGGGACCTTGCGGTTCAACCAAACGAGGAGAGCCGTTCATTAAGATAGACATTCATCTCACTCTGGGTCCACTGGAAATGTTTATGAAATAGCCGCACACAGTTTCAGTCTGACGTGATAAGTGGCCTCTTTATCTAATGAAATAGGCAAGCAGTCCCGTGGTTATAGTGTGGGATTAAATCATTATAATTCAATTTAAATTACACTGTATCTTTTTTCACGTCTCGATGTAAGACATGGAGTCTTTCCAGGAAAGCTGATTGCAGAGTGAACTCAAAACCTTTATCGTGACATTTTGAGTTATGCAAGGTAGTGGCATAATTCTTGACATGTCCTTCCCTGGGCGTTTCTTTTTGCAGAGTACGACGTGAGTGGCTACCTTGGCCTGACGGACAAGCTGTGCTCCCCAGACAGGGTCATTGAGACGGGTCGGGGCGTGTGCTGTGGATACTCCAGCGTCTGCATGCAGATGTGCCAGTAAGACAGCATTTGGACCATTGAAAAATACTCTTATATGTCTTTATAAATGGTAAAAATAACAATTGAGTGGTCTAAAACTGCATGCCATCGCCAGTAATAGACACCTCAGGCACTCCACCCTTACATGTTTCGTGCTTCGTTGCAGGGAGGCAGGAATCGAATGCCAAGAGGTGTCTGGCCATGGCAAAGGTATTGGGTACAGGCAAGGCCAGAGCTACCAAAACACCAAGTCCCTCCACATGTGGAATGCAGTGAAACTGGGAGGCCACTGGTATCTACTGGACGCCTGTTGGGGAGCAGGGAGAGTAGACATGGACAACAAAGCCTTTATTAAGAGGTGAATATGAGTTCCTAGTAAAGCAATTGGCCTACATGTTTGCTAACTGTGCTAGCACAGAGTTAAGTACATACTATACTGTTGAGCACAACCTTTATTATGTTGACAAGCTGCCAACAGATGCAATTGAATCACTAAGAATAGCAAAAAAGCTAGTGTCTGATCAGATATTCTAAAATAAGCCCTGTGGGTTATTCATGCATGGAATGTCTCCATATTAAGAACCGTGTTGCTTGATAATGATGAAAACAAGTAATGATGATTGCCAATCATTACAAAGGCTATTTTTGTAATGGACCACTTATAACAAGGTGGTCCACAGGACCATACATACAACAGTGCTAGTGCCAAATAAGCCCGGAATTATCTCACTACACTCTTAGAATTTTTTTTTCCAAAAGGGTTCTTCGGCTGTCCCCATATGACAACACTTTTTGGTTCTAGGTAGAACACTTTTTAGTTCCAGATAGAACCCTTTTGGGTTCCATGTAGAACCCTCTGTGGAAAGGGCTCTACATGGAACCTAAAAGGGTTCTACCTGGAACCAAAAAGGGTTCTTCAAGGGGTTCTCCTTTGGCGAGAGCCAAAGAACCCTTTTAGGTTCAAGATACCATCTTTTTTTCTAAGAGTGTACTTGTGTAATTTATTTCAAAAAACCTTCTGAAAACTACTGCAACTTCTCCCAAACGTTGTTGCTTTCAATTAGCATTTGGATTAGCATTAGCGTTTCTGCTATTAAGCCATTCTCCTTGTCGTCCAGGTACGATGACTTCTACTTCCTGACAGACCCTGAGGACTTCATCAACTCCCACTGTCCAGATGAGCAAGAGTGGCAGCTGCTGGACAATCCCATCCCACTGGAGGAGTTTGAGAAGAGGGTTCTAAAGACCTCGGAGTTCTACAGACTGGGCCTGACCCTCCTCCACCCCAAACACTTCCTGCTGGTCACAGGTCAGTCCCACATCCATATAGAACCAAAATGGCGGCACAGTCCATAAAAACCTGGAGACTAGTGCTCAAGGTTGAATTATACAGTATAAACGGTATGGCTAACACTTCGGGAAAGTGGACACTGTTCACAGCAGTTATTCACAGTTAGTCATAAATTAGTTGTAGATGAATATGTGTTAAAGAGTTACCATCATTCAGGCCTATACAATATGTTGATTCAAATTGCTGTTTCTGTACAGAAAATGGTGAGGCCTCGGTGTCCATGAAGTTCACCAAGCCTGTCGACTTCACCTACCAGATCTCTCAGCGGAACGGCTGTGGACCCAAAGTGGTCAACAGCTCGTCTGGCCTGCTCACTGTGACCCGGGAGAGCATGAGGTTACGACTGCTGCCCCCTACAGGTGGCACGTATGACGTCATGATCTTTGCCCGGCCAGGTAACAACTCAGGGACGTTCAGCTGGGTCTGCTCCCTCCTGGTGGAGTGTCCAGAACAGAAACCAATGGAAGAACTCCCTGAGAACCCCTTCTTGTCCTGGGGTCTGCAGCGGAACGCAGAGAGCCTGGGGGTGAAGAAGTGCAGCAACGGGGCAGAGGCTGCAGTGTCGAAGACTGGCTCCTTTGAGCTGGTCCTGCACACCTCCAGACCACTCATGATGCTGTGTGAACTGACCCACAAAGACCTTGACCCGTCCATAGCCAAGAGGTGTCTGGCCACTCAAATCCAATCTGACCACCTCACCTGTAATGTCCTCTGTCCCTATCTAGGTTACTATAGGTTGTCTGTGTTTGTTCGTGACTACGAGCGGCCCCAAGACGGCTTCAAGAATGGAGGTAACTTCCTCTTGCGCTGCACAGAAGGCGCTATCAACCTCAACGAGCTCTTCCCCCCTGCCCTTAGCACTGCCTGTGGGCCTGGAATCCGGACGCAAGACGCCGGCCTCTCCAAGTTCAGCCACACGGGGGTGCTGGTGAGCACCCAGCAAGGCAAATGCAACATTACCTTCCAAAACCAACAAGACCTGGAGCTCCACGCTGTGCTGTTCAAGGAAAAACGCAAGAGACTGGGGCACCCACTCTCCCGGCACATCTTCTTCACCTACAACAGCAGCAAAGTGACCATCAGCGTGGCCCTACCCGAGGCCGGAGTCTACAAGCTGGGCCTTTACGCCAAGTCCTCCACTGACCAGGACTTCAGAATGCTATGTGACTTTGTGCTGCGCAACAGCTCAGAGAGCAGCTGGCCTCCGTTCCCCTGCACCTACACAGCCTGGCAGAGGGGTAGTGTGCTGTTCGAGCCCCGCGGGGGTCTCCTGGAGCCCCTGTCCTGGGTGCGTTTCAGGGTCAGGGTTCCCGGGGCCCAGAGGGTGAGCGTGCTGGGGGAGCAGCTGATGGAGCTGCAGCTCAATAAGAGCCGTGTGTGGGAGGGAGAGGTGTTCACCGGGGCCAACGTGTCCCAGCTCAAACTGGCAGCCAGCGAGGGTGGAGGTGGCTCCACTGACATGGCCATTATCATGTCCTTCGACGTGCTGAGCCAGCAGAACGAAATGTAAAGCGATAAGCAGGTGGGCGGGGAGACAAGGGATTACTAAGAGACTGTATAAACAGGTATTTTACCATACCCTTGTTGAAGCACAGTAAAGCACGGATGGGTTAGGCTCTAGGAATAAGGTGCTCTATCAGAAATATCTTGGTTTGACACAGGTACTGAATGCCATAAATGTGAAATTATTTGTAGCTTTCGTTGCTGGATCTGATTTGTTTGTTTAGTTCATAAGAAAATTATATCTGATTATGCCTCAAAGTGTCCCTGCAAGGTGCTGTATGAAACACAAATTCAATGCTTCCTACATATAAATAATTATAAGTATGGACTTTGCTGCTCTGTATAAAAATGCATTTAGAATAATTACTATTGGTCAGAATCCTATTACCTAAGTAGTAACATGAATTGCTGAATGCTTTATGAGCTATGCAATGATGGATGAAACAATTATTATACTTACATTGGATGGCTTTATTATTGAATGGGACTAGAGTAAACTTCTTGTTTTAAATTTTTTTGAATGATATAGTGCCTTGCAAAAGTATTAATTCTCCTTGGCGTTTTTCCTATTTTGTTGCATTACAACCTGTAATTTAAATGGATTTTTATTTGGATTTCATGTAATAGAAATACACAAAATAGTCCAAATTGGTGAAGTGAAATGAAAAAAACAACTTGTTTCAAACATTTCTTTAAAAAATAAATAACGGAAAAGTGGTGCATGCATATGTATTCACCCCCTTTGCTATGAAGCCCCTAAATAAGATCTGGTGCAACCAATTACCTTCAGAAGTCACATAATTAGTTAAATAAAGTCCACCTGTGTGCAATCTAAGTGTCACATGATCTGTCACATGATCTCAGTATATATACACCTGTTCTGAAAGGCCCCAGAGTCTGCAATACCACTAAGCAAGGGGCACCACCAAGCAAGCGGCACCATGAAGACCAAGGAGCTCTCCAAACAGGTCAGAGACAAAGTTATGGAGAAGTACATATCAGGGTTGGGTTATTAAAAAATATCTGAAACTTTGAACATCCCACAGAGCACCATTAAATACATTATAAAAAAATTGAAAGAATATGGCACCACAACAAACCTGCCAAGAGAGGGCCGCCCACCAAAACTCACGGACCAGGCAAGGAGGGCATTAATCAGAGAGGCAACAAAGCGATCAAAGATAACCCTGAAGGAGCTGTAAAGCTCCACAGCGGAGATTGGAGTATCTGTCCATAGGACCACATTAAGCCGTACACTCTACAGAGCTGGGCTTTACGGTAGAGTGGTCAGAAAAAAGCCATTACTTAAAGAAAAGAATATGCAAACACGTTTAGAATAGTTATGCACGCTTAAGTTTTCAGTTTTTTTTTTCTTATTTGTTGTTTGTTTCATACCAAAAAATATTTTGCATCTTCAAAGTGGTAGGCATGTTGTGTAAATCAAATGATACAAACCCCCCAAAAAATCAATTTTAATTCCAGGTTGTAAGGCAATAAAATAGGAAAAATGCCAAGGGGGGTGAATACTTTCGCAAGACACTGTAGTTATGTTATCCTGCGCAATTCTTTGATCCTAAATTGTCTGTTACTCGTTATTGATTTGTGTTTTTACTGCTAAAGAAGGTGCTAGTGGTTTGATTTGTTATTGTAATGAAGTTTTCCAAATATTATGTTCTCTTGAAGGTTAATAAAACCATTTCAAATCACAAATCATTGTTTCCGTTTTTTATTCAAATATGTTTTTTGTCTAGATGGGTGTTTATCTCCATATTAGACACCCGTTCTATTATATTTTTTCATTATTGACAATTTATATGAGGGTCAAATCAGTGTCTGAAGCCCTTTACACCTTTAGCTTGTACTTGGCCTCTAGCACAGCAACTAATCTCATAATGAAAACGACGTATTGATCCTGTATGTCTACAGTGGCTTGCAAAAGTATTCACCCCTTTGGCATTTTTCCTATTTTGTTGCCTTACAACCTGGAATTAAAATGGATTTTTGGGGGGTTTGTATCATTTGATTTACACAACATGCCTACCACTTTGAAGATGAAAAATATTTTTTGGGGTGAAACAAACAAGAAATAAGACAAAAAAACTGAAAACTTGAGCGTGCATAACTATTCACCCCCCCAAAGTCAATACTTTGTAGAGCCACCTTTTGCAGCAATTACAGCTGCAAGTCTCTTGGGGTATGTCTATATAAGCTTGGCACATCTAGCCACTGGGATTTTTTCCCATTCTTCAAGACAAAACTGCTCCAGCTCCTTCAAGTTGGATGGATTCGGCTGGTGTACAGCAATCTTTAAGACATACCACAGATTCTCAATTGGATTGAGGTCTGGGCTTTGACTAGGCCATTCCAAGACATTTCCATGTTTCCCCTTAAACCACTCGAGTGTTGCTTTAGCAGTATGCTTAGGGTCATGCTGGAAGGTGAACCTCCGTCCCAGTCTCAAATCTCTGGAAGACTGAAACAGGTTTCCCTCAAGAATTTCCCTGTATTTAGCGCCATCCATCATTCCTTCAATTCTGACCAGCTTCCCAGTCCCTGCCGATGAAAAACATCCCCACAGGATGATGCTGCCACCACCATGCTTCACTGTGGGGATGGTGTTCTCGGGGTGATGAGAGGTGTTGGGTTTGCGCCAAACATAGCATTTTCCTTGATGGGCAAAAAGCTCAATTGTAGTGTCTACTGATCAGATTACCTTCTTCCATATGTTTGGGGGAGTCTCCCACATGGCTTTTGGCGAACACCAGACGTGTTTGCATATTTTTTTCTTTAAGCAATGGCTTTTTTCTGGCCACTCTTCCGTTAAGCCCAGTTCTGTGGAGTGTACGGCTTAAGGTGGTCCTATTGACAGATACTCCAATCTCCGCTGTGGAGCTTTGCAGCTCCTTCAGGGTTATATTTGGTCTCTTTGTTGCCTCTCTGATTAATGCCCTCCTTGCCTGGTCTGTGAGATTTGGTGGGCGGCCCTCTCTTGGCAGGTTTGTTGTGGTGCCATATTCTTTCCATTTTTAAATAATGGATTTAATGGTGCTCCGTGGGATGTTAAAAGTTTCTGATATATTTTTTTAACCCAACCCTGATCTGTTCTTCTCCACAACTTTGTCCCTAACCTGTTAGGAGAGCTCCTTGGTCTTCATTGTGCCGCTTGCTTGGTGGTGCCCCTTGCTTAGTGGTGTTGCAGACTCTGGGGCCTTTCAGAAGAGGTGTATATATACTGAGATCATGTGACAGATCATGTGACACTAGATTGCACACAGTTGGACTTTATTTAACTAATTATGTGACTTCTGAAGGTAATTGGTTGCACCAGATCTTATTTAGGGGCTTCATAGAAAAGGGGGTGAATACATATGCATGCACCACTTTTCCGTTATTTATTTTTTAGAATTTCTTGAAACAAGTTATTTTTTTTCATTTCACTTCACCAATTTGGACTATTTTGTGCATGTCCATTACATCAAATCCAAATAAAAATCCATTTAAATTATAGGTTGTAATGCAGCAAAATAGGAAAAACGCCAAGGGGGATGAATACTTTTGCAAGGCACTGTAAGTAATGCAACACTATCTCATGTACAGTCTTCTATATAAGCTGTTATGAAATCTGAATAGTAATGAATAAATAATTGGTCATTTAGCAGACGCTCTTATCCAGAGCGACTTACAGGAGCAATTAGGGTTAAGTGCCTTGCTCAAGGGCACATCGACAGATTTTTCACCTAGTCGGCTCGGGGATTAGAACCAGCGACCTTTCGGTTACTGGCACAACGCTCCTAACCACTAAGCATGAACCCTTGCTCTGTGTACATTGTCACCACCTCACCCTCTACTTATTTTGTGTTTTATTTTACATCTGGCCTGGGCGTCTGTGGGTTTCACCTTCTTTACTGTTGTGTCAGTTGCTATGTCAACAGCGAGCTCAGCATATTTTCCATTAGTCAGCCTGCCTGCTAGACGATGTCACGGCCTGCCTAAAACCAGTCATAGTCTTTTAGAGGTGTAGGATCTTAATTTGAGCCAGTTTGCTACAGCAGGAAAATAATCCTGCAGGAAATGTGAATTATTATGTGGATTATATAGAATGGATATTTTTGTAGGGGTGATATTTCAAGGTGGAAATTACAAACTTCAGAAGATTTTTAAAACATCAAATACACTACAAGTTTTAAATGACCTGATTTGCAGGAAAGTTCTCCTGCAACAGGGTGATCAAATTAAGATCCTACACTTGTAGGCACGGATCATGTTCATCCCTGTTCACACCATTCCCTGTGCCTGCTGCTCGCTCAAAGACCATTTTCCCCCTCTTGCACTTCGCTTCACACCTTCAATATTTATACACCAAAGAGAATGACAAACATTTGTTCAGCCAGTCTGTAGTTGTGAACATTGCTTGGCAACATCAAAGGTAGAGGCTAAGGCAAAGAGTATGAGACTGCATGTTCGAGACCTAGCAAAACACTGATCGCCATGAAATTGCTATTGTGATACACCAGCAAACCATTACTGTCAAAGGGTGCTCTAGAGTCAAAGCCGGAAAGCAACACAGTCTTTTGTGATATACGTCCAAGACTCCATAACAGCCAATTACAGGAGCAACATGTAATGTTAGTTACACTTTTTATGAGATATACACATATAATGCCTTATAAGTACATTTATAATGCCTTGTAAGGCACTATAAGTGTATTATAAGTAGAGGTGTAACGATTCGTTTTAACAACGATTCGATTTGTATCACGATTCGTGGTTGTCGATACAATTCAAGGACGATATTGGTTCATTTAGAACGATACGATCCGAAACGATTCAGTGACTTGAAATCGATTCAGTAACCTTTTAGCCAAAAATTCAACCAGTGTGACTGAAATAAATACCTGGATACTGGACAGTGCAGGTGAAGTTTCCTAGATTCCTGTTTCTTGTAAGGACCGCAATGGTGGCTTGATAATTTCTCGCTCGTCGGCTTCTCCTCTGTCGTCCGCCATG